CCGATGGACGGTGCTCTTCCGTTTTTAATATAGCAGGCAGACATGTGGGCAGAGGCCAACAGAAGGATTTAAATCAGTGCTTGGTTATCAGAAGATGTGAAGATGTCGGACAGCTACTGACAATTGAATTGACGATATACTATACCGCCATAGAATAATGGATTTTATTTTTTTTCTTTCCTCTTCTTCATATGAGATGCATATAAGAAATACTGACCCATATGGAGTGTTCTGGAAGAACTGTACAAACACTTTTAGCCAGACAGTTATTACATCCCATAAATACTTTATGTCAGGATCATTAAGAATGTTGTGCAATTGGAATCACTATGAACAATAGTGAACAGGGTCATACTTACCACTTAGTTTGTAACCTGATGTAAAAACTAATTGTCGAATTTGGAACTACTTTCTACTTAATACTTTCACCAGATTTACATAGAATGTAGTATTTTGAAAGGCAAGTGTGTCATTTTTAACAGGGCAAATGTTGGCCCCGATACCATCCCATGCGACATGCTATGGAATGTCTGTCTATGCCAGTCAGAGATTCACCTGTCTGGCTTTCATATTGGGTAGGCCTGCCACACCCACTTCCGTTTCTGAACGGAAACCACGTCTGTTAATCATCCCCCATAAGTACAGAGCATACCATTAGGAAGAAAGGGAAAGGGGGTCCTCATTTTAATGCGTGTTCGGTTTTATTGTCTATTTATGTTAACACTCCATCTCCCACGCCAGGGCGTAAAACTATTATTGCAGTGCGTAAAAGCAAAATGCTGCCAAAGACACTGTTGTTTTTGCTCGCAGTTTGCCCTCTTAATTAATTTGCACTGCCATGAGGTACCCAGGTTGGGTTTGCCTTTTGCCCTTTTGCCTGTTTTCATATCTTGGCACGGTCATTTTAATCTAATGGGAGAGTTTCAGGCAGTTGGAAAGGATCATCTTCTACCAGTCTTTCCCCAGTTGGCAGAGAAAATAGGTTTAGCACTTGTGAATTTTCCTGCTCCTCTGCTGTTTATCGGTAATGAGGTTGCGCCGAGTTAACAAGAGGTTGCCTCCAAAACCTTTGACTGCTTTGTATTACCCTTAGAGATGTGCTGTTTGCAGGGCTTGTTTTGTACACACAATAAAAATGTAATGGATCACGTGCCAGGGTTTCCCAGTGATCAGTTAGGTTTCCATTGTGGAAATCTTTATCACATAGCTTTTTCCTTTTTTCTTCTTCTGACATGTCTCCCTTGAGGATCCCTCTGACAGTTGAGTTGTGGTCTGAAGGAAACTTCATAGCGCTCTGTGGCCTGGCCCTCAGATGAAGGAAAGTGAGAGGGGGGTACAGATGGAAAGATAGACGGGTGACCGTAAAGGAGTGGAAGGGCTGGCTTAGGCGGAGATGGGAAAGAGAGAAGAGGATTGAAGAGGTATAAGGCTCACAGCTTTGCTCCACATTAACTTCTCCTCCAATGGAAAATCCAATAGCATCTGTAGCTGATGGGAGGTTGGGCACCATTGCTTCGTGGTTCTGTACAAATGTTTAGCGGTGTTATTTTTACAAAACCCCCTTTACTTTTCTTTCATTTGTTTTTAGAAACACATCTGTCTTTCAGATATTATTGTTTAACTACAGGCCATGAGGCATCAAAACAGCCTCCAGTGTTTACATTTACCCAGATTCAGCCAGAATGACTCATTGGTCTAGGGGGCTTTTACACGTCTATAAGGCAAAGAAAAATGTGTGCATGTCCGGGAGTGTTCTAATTTTACAGTGCCCAAATGCATGTGTTCACGTGCAGTTTTGTTTTAATACCAAATATTTCACATTTCCCCTAGCGTTAGAGTTTATAGCACATCTTATATATGTCAGTTCTGATTCTGCCGGCAGACTTTGCCTTATGTCATGTTTTGTTTCGTGTCCAGTGGCCCTTGAGTTTCCAGTAGCCGTGGTAGGTGCTAGCAGGGCCTGCGTGGTCCTTACAAACGGGGGGTGGTCCTGGCAGAAAGCGGTCGCTCTGTGTTTTATTTTTGTTTTCAAGTATAAAAAGTGCACCATTATAATGTTATAGCTTACTAAGTGAAACACTTCAACAGGAATGCATAGCTAATAACCCCTTTTGTTCCCTTTCTTGCTAACATAAAATTGGTTGAAACTGATATTTCTACATACATAAATGTATTTCATTTTATTATACTTTTTTTCACGGTTTTCCAGTTTAGCAATTATAGCAGAGTATTAACATCTGCTTTTACTGAAGCCAGGACTGAAAATGCAAAGTTTTAATTTCTTGTTTTAACAACTTGGTTTACACTCTGTAGTTTTCAGAGAATGAATCGTTCTTCATATTTACTTGTGCTTTTTATTATTATTATTATTATTATTATTATTATTATTATTATTATTATTATTATTATATTTTTCTGTCTTTTCAAAACCAGCTGGTGTTCTGAATTCAGATATATTGACATATAGGTGAATTAACCCCATTATATTTTGAGAATTCTGAAGTCTTTCATTAAAGGTAATTTGTTTGTTACATGCTGTGTTGGAGTGGCCCTCCCTGTGCGGATCATGAAACTGCTGGCAAGAAGACAGTGAGCCTTCCACTGCTTGGTTAATCACGGGCCTCATTATCCCAAAATTATGGTGGTTAATTTCCTACAGATCTCAGCAGCAGTAACTATGGCAGCAGCAAGACCAATGAGCATGCGTTTCAAAATGACATGTCTCCTGATGAGTACGCCAATGTAGTGAAGCAGATTACGAATCGTCAGCATGTTACTTCACCCCAGAATGACCTATGTGTGCTGTATTATCTGGATGTTGAAGGCCTGTTTCTGGTGTTTGAAAAAGTGTTTGTTTTGTTCAATGGTAAGCATGTCAAAATGATGTAGGTTAAAAAATGCTAAACAAACTGAATATTTCACTAATTAAAAATAAATAATTTATACGCACACACTGTCAGTCCTACTACAATGCGTGATATCACACACAAGTGTTTTCTAACGTGATTGATACAGTATATTAGTTCCAAGTAAGTCCAATACAACATGGAATCACATTTATATTTGTGCGATTTTCAGTTGGAGAGAATGCACTACAGAAACTACTACGTGCTATAGTAACACTACTTACTCGTAAAAACAGCTATTCAAGTAAACAATAGTGGCGTGTGATTCGTGAGCGAATTGTTCTTTTGAACTGGTTCTTTTTAGTGAATCAGCCGAGTCAGTTTTCAAGTCTAAAAGAATCAAACTTTTTGTACATTCTAGCATTACACAGGTTAAAGTCTTGCATTGTAAAAATATTTGACAAATAATCATATAAAAAACAGCAATGTTTTTAAATTTACATACATTTTCTTTCCATACTGCCTGCAGTCATGTTGCCTTCAGTGCCCCCCCTCCATATTGCGTAAGCCGTTGTATTTGTGCTGTGTGCAGGTGGCTCACTTCTCCTGATTAATGATGGCCAAAATTATATTTCATGAACCAATTTCTGTATTTTCTAGCCCCACTAGATGGTGGTGTTCAAAAAAGGACTCAAAGCATGCCCCAAAGTAAACTAAGAGCGCCATCTAGTGGGGTCAGAAAATACAGTAAATGGTTCATCAAGCGTCGTTTTGACCATCACACCTCCCAACTCTCGGCAATCGACAAGTTAGCGAGTTTGGCACGTTCGGTAGAAACGGTAACTAGGCAATTCTCGTGAGATTCATAAGACTCATAGGAGATGTATATGAATGTGATTTATTAATGTACTATTGTTATTATTATTATTATTTATTTAACATGCATATAATTACATTATTGACCATTTGTATTGCTGTTTTTATCATTTGATTAATTTTGTTTGGTGTATTTTAGTATTCTTGGTGTATTCTTGGAATCACATTCCCATAACGCTATTTTCCCCATTGGATATGTGTATTTTAGTATATGATTGTAGTGAACACAATGTTTTTGAGGAATGAGTTAGTTGGGTTGTAGCAGGACTGACTATATATAAAAATATTTGTGTAGAGGTTTTCAGGTTTCATAAAAAATATTTTTAGGTTACCCTATATAAGGCAGATATAACCCTTTAAATTATGTCCTAATCTGCATCAAAAATGAATACTGTTTTAAAGAAGTATGGATACATATGTATAGTATCTGAACCTAAATGAATTTACTGTTATGATTAGATAATTTGCAGTATTGGCTGTTAGTTCAATAAGTCTGAAAATCAGAAATGATTGTCTTGATGGATTTGTTCCTAATGTCCGAATACGTTTTTTTGTTTGTGTTTCTTTTGTTTTTTTTTGTTGTTGCTGTTGTTGGTAGATAAAGAATAAATGCACCCAAACCCCAGACCGTGACACTGTAGAATATTTACAGTGAGGTTGATGGATTATGGATGGTGAGCTGCACACCACAGTGGACACTGCAGCATGTTTTCCCAACACACCCTGGGTGCGGATCTGCCCAAAATTACACTGGCCAAAGTCCTCCTGGCTTTTGGACTGCAAGTGCACATTGTTTTCCAGCCCAACAGGAAGGTGCCGTCCAAGCAATTTTATCACAGATTGTGACAAAATGGGTCATAGAACAGGCTGGTTGAAAGCAAGGCACACGTTTTGTCTTCTAAAAATGCCACAGGAACCCACAAAATACATTTAAAATGTTTGAAGGATTCATTTTGCACGTTTATTTGCTCTCTCTGACGTACCAGTGAGTTTGTGGTGAGTGCTGTGGTTTGTGTGTGGAAGTTTCTTTATTAATGCGCCAGTCTGTGTTAACTGGAGATGTGCTGTAAACAATCTGCTTTGATGGGTCTTGATTCTGGTCTTGGTTTCGGTCATGGTTTCAGCATGTTGTGTGTGGGGGGTCGTAGTTAGTATGTGAGTCTGTGCTTCTGAGAGCACTTCATCTGCTGTCGCTGACTGCATTATAGGGACTGCCTCAGGGTTCCCGGACAAACTCCAGCTGGCCACCACATTCTGACCTCTCTCCTGTCTCTCCAGGTCAGGTGTACCAGCAGTACCAAGCCCCGGGTGGATACCCTCCCCCGCCGCTGTATGGGGTGCAGAACCCAGGTGAGAAAAGGCTGTCTTTCCATTTTTGCCCTTCACTTCTACAAGAGCTGTGGAATTTGACTCTTGAGTTGTCCAATATAGTCTCTTGCTCCTGGAATCATGACTGTCCTCGTATAAATCTTCATATCAGTCACCTTATTCCATCTTTCTGCAGAAGGTGATTCATATCTAACTTCAAGCCAGCACTTGGTAGAGGTCCTGAAAGTACAGCTCTGGAAAAAATTAGGAGACCACTTTATATTTTTTTTAAAAATCTGCTTTTTTTAAATCCTGGTTTAATCCAGGTTCTGCTGACAGAAGGTTACACTGCGAGACAGGCAGCTTCCAGGCTAAAGGTTTTTAAGACAGCAGTACACAAGAACAAGGTGAAGCAGGAGACACTGGCAAGAACTAGATACCAGATAGGTAGAGGGCAGAAGCAACTTTCTAATGCCAGAGATGACCATCAACTTATCCAGCAGTGTCTCATTAATCAGGGGATGACCTCAAGTGACCTTCAAAAAGAATGGGTTACTAAGTGGTTTGAAGTTCACTGCTATGAGAAGTCATAACAGGCTCCTAGAAGCAGGAATGAAGACCCATAAAGCAAGGAAGAAGCCCTTCATTAATGAGAAACAGCAGGGAAAAGCCATGTTGGAGTTTGCAAAAAAAAATTTACACAGACGCATTCCCATAAACTTAGAAATGAGTGAAACTTAAAATTTTGCTGTGGTCTCTCAATTTTTTCCAGATTGAGGCTGTATGTGGCTTTAAGATGTTCACAAAGGACGGTGTCACGTGTTCCGGCTCCGAGCTGGGTGCTGGGAGCTGGGAGCTGGGTGTTGGGTGCTGGGAGCTGGGTGTTGGGAGCTGGGTGCTGGGAGCTGGGAGCTGGGTGTTGGGTGCTGGGAGCTGGGTGTTGGGTGCTGGGTGTTGGGAGCTAGGTGCTGGGAGCTGGGTGTTGGGAGCTGGGTGCTGGAAGCTGGGTGCTGGGAGTTGGGAGCTGGGTGTTGGGAGCTGGGTGTTGGGAGCTGGGTGCTGGGAGCTGGGNTGGGTGCTGGGAGCTGGGAGCTGGGTGCCCTTCTTGTGCGTCTGTCTGATATGCTCTGTTCTCTCCCCATACAGGCTGCACCTCCCAGCCAGCTCACCATAGGCAGCAGCAGTACATGAGTTACGCTGCCCCCACATCCCAAACTGTAACCCCCACCCCTGCAGCAGGATTCACAGGGCAGTCCCATGCCCTTCCTCAAGCAGGCCTTCAGTGTCCCCCCGGAGCCCTCCCTCCACAAAGCTACACCTCCCCAACCTCACAACCCACTAATTACCACATGCCCCCCACCCCCCATCCAGGTCCTGGCTATCAGCCCCACCCTGGATACATCCTGTCCCCAGGAAATGCAGGGAATCAGCCCCCTCCCGGGACATCCAACCCATATTCCCGAAATCGGCCACCTTACGGTCAGGCCTACACCCAGCCAGGCCCGGGATATCGATAAGAGTCCTTCCAGTGAGCTTGCAGCTCAGTTAGCTTTGGATCACAGACTTTCCTGAGCCCTGTTAGCACTAAATCCAAAACTGCTCAGGGCACTGGACTTGTCTTTTTTGTCTGAATGCAGAATGGGAATGTACCAACAGGATTAAGTGGGATTCATTATGAAAGATGCGGTTTTGTGTGGGTGTGTGTTTATTCGTGTTTTTGCCTAATTACTGCACATTTGCTTGTGTAAGTGAACTGAACTTGTAAAATCTTTTCACACTTTGAAGGCCACATCTTATGTTTGCCTCCATATTTATCTCTCTATGAATATTTGCCATTTTGTTAATGGCGTTGTAATGACATGATATCTGAACGATGATTCCAGATTGCAGTTTTATTTACACGACATTCTGCGTTTTCGGGAAGCTAATAAAGGCATCTTAGACCAAGCCTGGCGTTTCGTTTTTATTGCTGGACTCCTGTGGTTCTAAAGAAATGTCCCTGTGGTGATGCTGGTCTATTTGTGCCTTTTCTTGGGTTTGGAAAAGTGCTGTAATCCATGTTGCTCTATTTCTGTCGCAATAATGCTGCGGTTTGCCCTGACATGAGAAGGGACCAGAGGTATGTGTGTGTGCTGTAAATTGAGCAGGTTCACGCTGGAGACGGTCGCACTGGGCTGTCGAACTAAAAAGATTGGTCACAAAAGTATGACACTGTATACTCCCCTAGAAATCCGATTTAAGCTAAAAGAAGCACTAAGAAAATATACTTCTAATGGTGATGTGCTTCTTATTCACAGCAGACCATTTTATAGGTTACACACTTAACTATGTGAATTGAATTGAAAGTTGTTCTTTCCTAAAAACTCTTCCATTGGTTGACAAGCACAAAAAAGACGTAGAAGTTTATTTTAAAAAATTATTATTGAAAATGTGATACGTGAATATGTGATAAACACTAAAAATACATTAACGTTAATGTTTTCCAAAAAAAATTATGGTTAAAACATTCATCCGCCATTGATGCTATCGAGTACCTATGTACAAAATTGGTCTCATTTTTTATTTATTTGTTCTTATGTTGCTTATATCTATAATGCATAAATACCACATCTTCAGATGTTATACTTAAGGAACCATGGTTTGACATTTGAGAATGGTGGTTTAACACAAGTTTTAAAGATTGTTTTCAAAAATACCTTTCTCTCAATATACATATAAATTAATTTATGTTGTGCAAACTGCAACTGTAAAAACCCTGAAGTCTATAGCTACCCAAAAGAGCAGGGCTGATGCAGGGAGTACTGGATAGACAGAAGGCATATTTTCTGTGTGTGCACAAGCAGCAGAAACTGTAGAATGTAAAAGTGCAGATTAATTTAGTCTGGCCAAACCTGCCGCCCACCCCCCCCCCCCCCA